TCAACTGGTCAATTTGACCTGGACTCGAAACATGCAAGCGCTAATGGAGAGCGTCCAAGTAGATATTTCAGAGGGTATATTAAAAGAAATATTACAAGAAATTGAAAAAAGAATAACCTCCGGTTATGATTAACTTTAGAATTTTGATAATGAAAAGTTAAAGTTGAAATTGCCATTTGAAAATATACTGTAATATACTATTATAAAACACGAAGAAATAGAATAGGTGGGGGGGGGTCCCTTCGTTCTTGAATACGCTATTCAACCACACCAAATTATTGTTGTTCCAACAAGTGAAAATACTTCTTCGGAGTTTTAGAAAATGAAACCAAACATCAATCAAAGAAGAAAAATCGTTATCAAATTCCCTGCTAAACAAAGCAAAGATGAGGGTATTTGATCCGGGGTTCGATTCCCCTCGGTGAACAGAGCGCACATAACCCATTATATGTAGCTTTTCACTGAAATCAAAACAATTAAAGATACAGAAATTATTTGTAGTGCAGGAGATGTGAAATAACAAACGATCGCTGGATACGAATCTGACAAATTCATATACAAAAATGAAATAAAAAAGGCTTACTGTTAATGACCTACCAGCTCCTAAGTGCCCCCAGCGGCACAGTGGTATCTTTGCGGATTCACAAAGCTAGAAATTAGGTTTCGATACCCGTGGTGAGAAGAGCATAGATATCTCATTGTGTAGGTTTCTGCTTTATTACAACAAACAGCTCCTAAGCTTTTATGCTATTTATTGTCGATAGCCAATAGAGGGCAGGACAATAGCTCATTACATTCCATTATTTTTTTGCAAATGTTTATTAAAACCATTTATCAGTTTTTGTCGATTTTTGTTCCTCCGGTAATCTAAAAAGATCATATTTTGAGAACTGAAGGCCTTGGATAGATCGCTGTATAAACTGTACTTCTACAGAAATCTGTTGCACCTGCGAACCTTCGAGTAGGGGTGGTTGGATGATGGTTTCGTAATCAGTATTTCGTTTATGCTTTTGTTATTTTTGTATTCCAAGTCTCTCCCTCTTGACATATTAGATCATTGTACAAATTATTAATCGTTCTTGTTTTCTTTTGCTCCAGTCTCCTTGGGCAAAATTATCATATATATTTCTGAAAGTAAACCCACCAGTGACACAGCGGCATGTCTGTGGGCTTATACCGCTAGAAACCAGATTTCGATACCCGTGGTGGACAGAGAACAAATAGCCCTTTGTGTAGTTTTGTGCTTAATAACAAACACCTAAAAGTAAATATTATTATTGTTCAATGTAATAATTCATAAGATACGCTTGTATTCACATATGGAACTATGTTATTGCGCGAAAGAAAACCAAACAACAGTAACAATTGTGGATTTGGAATAAATTTAAGTTTCTGCAAATAAAATGCAAAATTTTCGGTTGCTTATATTATCCAACTAAATTTATAGCGTGAAGGGTAACGCAATGAATGTTGCCTATAGGAAGATGGGCAGTGTGGTAAGGTACTCTTACAGACACATTAAAACGCACAAACATGTGTAAAAATGTTTCGAAAAGATGGTCTCTCACACCTTGGCGTATCAATGTTATGTATAGGTTATTTTGCACTGTCTACATATATTTTTTTCGTTTTATTCCTACGTTTCTATTTAATAACATCCTAAACCTATGGCACGTACTAAAAGATGTATCAAAGAACAATTAAGTACATTAATATTTAGAATATTTTATAAGTTTATAGAAAATAAGATACATGAATCTTGGAACATAAAAACACACTCACGTAAACATTTAATTTCATCCTGCATTTTATTATCAGCCTTGTGCTGCCATCTAGCAACAAGTTATAAAGTTGTGCTGTGTTTGATGTAGGGCCTAGGACAATTCCACAAATACATTTTCCATCATATTAGCAGGCTCGTACGCAGATTGTTTGAAAGGGAAGGGGGTCTAATTTGGGTGATCAAAACCCAACACACATTGTGCGAAGCACAATCAGCATTCTAATGCTAGGGGGTTCTGGGGGCATATCCTACATTAAACTTTCGCATTAAATAAAGCTTAAACAATTGCATGGTTGTTCACATAAAATCCATAAATATCCAATGAAAAGTCAAGAAATCGTCATTTTGTTGTAACACTGCATGGGAAACTAGACGTAAATTAGCATAAATATGTATGTTTTATTATAATGAAATACTGTACTATCTTCATGCAGTTATCTCGGGTAATTATCCAGTCTGTGTGGACTTTTGAAGAAAAACAGACAATTGGTTAAAGCTCAGGATGCAACAGTGTAACGAACACTTGTATGGACGTTTGACTTATTTTAAAACAAGTGGACTTTGTTGCTGTTTGTTTATTGTTGAAATTTACTGCTAACTGGCCACAGACACCTACTGTAAAGAATCGGGCCTTCAAAACATGACAGTTGCAATACGGCTTCGGACTTCCAATTACAAAGTGTCAACAGCAAAAAAAAAAACATTACATGTGACTATTTCAAGTGAAAAAACGCTTATGATTCATCAAAATAATGTAGACTATATAGAAAATGTTAAATACCATAAGCATTCTCCTATTTAATAACATCGATAAAGAAGGAAATATATTTAACACTCTCACAAGCATTTATAACGATATAAATACCAGTTAGATCAAGTTCCACGTTAAGATATATACGTGTCTTTTATGTAGCTGTACTTTCAAGAGTGTAAAGAGTTTCTTAGCAATATATACGTATAAATGTATAAATAACACCTTTGTAAATCTCTGTAATCAGCACCGTTTATCCAATTCTACGTTTAAAGGTATAAGTAACACCTTTGTAAATCTCTGTAATCAGCACAGTTTATCCCATTCTACGTTTAAAGGTATAAGTAACACCTTTGTAAATCTCTGTAATCAGAAGTGTAAACAGCACCGTTTATCCAACTCTACGTTTAAATGGATAAACAGCACATTTACTAAGCTCTATGAGTAAGTGTATAATTGGCACCCTTCATAAAACTGTACGATCAAAAAATAAGAAGAGAACTTTTTCTCAAACAGTTCATTCAAATGTACGTGTAGATATTGTGTTTGCTAATAGTTACCACGCTATTTCATTATAGTAAACCAAACTTTATAACTGTACAAACATTACAAAGGCATGAAAAGTAGTCCATTTTAAGTGTTTCGACTTGCGACATCTGAGAGGTCTTAAATCGAAATAATTGCCAAGCTAAATAAATAAACTACCTAAATGTGCTAAATCTAAATAAGCAGGCGGCGCCAAAATCCGTTTTCCATTTTTTCCCACCATTGTACTTGTGTTATTCACGGTCAAGATCAGGGTCTTTTCTAATGTTATCGGAGTATAAAACTTTTAAATCTTATTCCATTATTACGCAGTTCACTATAAGAAACAAAGGTATTCCAATTATACACATTATCACAGTATTCTGTGTATTACTTATTAGCATGGTTAAATACTGAGCCAGGCCTTTTAAGTATTTTTCTTAAATAGCAAATGAATATGTATATATATAATATCAAAGTGTTAATTTAGCTTTAGTTTTCCCCATATTAGATAGAATTTGTATCAATAAATCGTTTTAAAGAATACTGTAGTGTACATAATTTAAACATATTTCCAAAACAGAGATATACAAACACAAGCAAATATAGAAAAATTGTATTTTCACGAAAAAATAAATTACACAGGCCTGCGATGGTTTTATTGTCTTGAAATGTTTACACGTTCTACGGTAATTCCAGTACACTGAATCCTAAAATGATATCCATTTTCCTCCATCACGTACAGAATTTCCACAAAACGTCATAACACAATACATAAGAGAAAGACCACAGCAGGTAGTTTAGAGACTAAAAGATGTAGATTTTACACACACACAAAAAAAAATCAGGTTGTTTGAGGATGTATATTTGTTTGACATCAATGTTCTTCCCTCTTCTTCAGTTTGTTCGTATTTTTGTTAACAAACGTAATAATAATTTGATCTAAGTAAGAGTTTTTTCTTCCCTATTTGTAAAAGATCTTTACGTGATAGAAAAAAAAACGAATATTATTTTCGAAATCTGTGTAGCTGAATTGTGGAAAATCAGTTATTAAAACCAAAACAACTTTTATGAAGTTTAAATTCGCAGGCCCGTGATATTTGAGTGGGTTTCCTTTCTGAACGCATGCAGTAAATTATGTGCGTATAAGATCATAATAAGTTTGACGCATATATATATCAAACTTTATTTAAAAGAAAAAGAAAAAAAACTATATGAAGATGTTCGATCTAAATAACTTATCATAATCAACAGAAGGCGTTACAGTTAAGTTTAATTCTCCTTAAAAGAAGTATTTATTTTCTACGTTCTCAACAGTATTGTAAAATTATGTAATTGTTTTTCTATCATTTGAATAGTACTGTAAAAATAAAGAACTGGAAAATTGAAGTATTTATTTTCTACGTTCTCAACAGTTTGTTTGTTTGTAATTATGCACAAAGCTACAAAATGGGCTATCTGTGCTCTGCCCACCACGAGTATCGAAACCCGGTTTCTAGCGTTGTAAGTCCGCAGACATACCGCTGTGCCACTGGGGGCGTTCTCAAAACAGTACTGTAAAATTCGGTAATTTGTTTTCTGTCATCGGAATAGTAATGTAAAAATCAAGAACAGGAAAATACCACTATGCCACTGGAGGGCGTTTAGGTATAAACAAAAATTTCATGAACATTATTAATAAATGAGTGACTGATCAACAGTTACATACCTTCTTAATTTCTTTTGTTCTGGGACGAATCATGTTTTAAATATTTGCATAGTATTTTTTTTCATTTTTACCGCGTGATATTATTATTCATTCTAATGTCCTAAATTTACATCTCCTACTTAATTGGCTGGTGAACGTTTCAATATGTTTGTTACCAGATGTTACCACAGTTAAGTATCAAAACAACAAAATTGAAAACACAATGAGAGGGGTCAAAATACGATCATCTTATAATGATTTTATTTCATATTTCATTTCTGATGAAGCCCCTAATTAAGGACAGAACAGACCAAACCATCAAATATAAAAACTCTACCCAAATATGTTTAAGTTAAGATATACATTTTGTAAGCTGTATAATCATCAGGTCAAGTGGAATCAAGTCCTGGATGGAAGCTCCTACAGTGGACTTGGTGGTTTCAATTTATACTTGGACAAAGTGCTTTTTACTACTTATTTAATGAACTACAAGAATAACACCTTTTCATTATTTTTCACAGCTAAGATTAACAGTTCCTAATTATAAAATACTGTAAAAAAAAAATTAAAAAAAGGCATTGGCACTAAAAGGCATTATATCATGAGTCATTAAATGCTAATGGATATGAAGGCACATGGCTATTTCGTGTATGATACGTAGTCCTCTGTAAGAACTTATAACACTCTTTAAGTAGTTTAGAGAGTAAACTTTGTACTTTCTGTTCTCTTCAAGGTATTTTAAACTAGAGATAAGTTTAAAATAGGAATTTCAAAATCATAACAATTATAGCATACAATGTTTATAGTGTATTCTTCTAACAAGTTGGCTTCCCCGTCATCATATTTACATAACAAACTATTTTCTTTATAACAAAATTTTAAATTATATATATATTCTTAATCTCAATAAAAACTCCAATGTCAGAAAACTGGGAAGCCAGCCTTGCCACAACAGTATCAATATTAAATACAAAATATAATTCCTCTTGGCTTTTAAATTTGTGTCTGAAGCTAATGTTACTTGTTTCTTTCAGTGATATCACTGCATCTTCCAAAGAAATACTGTCATTTAAAAAAAAACATTCCATTTTTGCTGTAGTGCTACAAGTTTTATGATGAAAAGTTAAATGCGTAACACTTACTGAATATAGTATGTTGGTATTTTAATTGCTAAAAGTGAAAAGAAACAAAAAAAAACACTTAATATAAAGTGTGAAATTTTCATTAATAGGGCAGTTCATTTTTTATTAACAAAAACAACATTAACAATACCATTACCCAGTCAAGCTCGATGCAGGCTCTTGCTTGACAACAAATATTTAAAAAATTCACTCTACGTAGCACATAGATGCCCGAGATGATCAAGCAGTTGGACACGACCATCCTGTGTCACTGTGCAAGGCTTACTTCCTTTACCACTAACAAATAATAAAGTACCCTTATAATCTGATCATTAAAACTCTATAAAAATATGACCTATTTTCAAATCATGTTGACCACTAGTAGTCAAAGCCTCTTATACACCATATCATAAAATTTCAGAACTCATGGAACACACGTATATCAGAGATCAAGAGTTTATCATAACTTCAAATGTTGGTGGAAATACTGGAAAAAAAAAATACTGTTCACAACACAGATGTGAGGTAGATGCTGTTATTTTCATAGTTTTTCAATGACTTAATTACTCTATAAGAATTAATCAATTCATTTTTAGGTAAGCAATAATTTAGCTGGGTAAAAACTACAAGATAAATTGTTTTACAGTGTGTCCACATGCCCGAACAGATCAAAACTCTATCCCCATGCCTTCTCGAAGCCACAACCCTTCTTTCTCCAATAACCGAGAAAGGCCGACTACGGTACTCACAAAACAAGTTTACAAAGGAACTGAGTACAAGAACATGGTAGGTTATTTGGAAAAGTAATGAGATGAAACAAAAAAATGAGATCCCCTGAGGACTTTCAAATGACATTTAATATTAATCTTTAAGCAGATAAAGTGTTTTATCATGTGTGCCCCGAAATATGGTAGAATCTCTGGACATTTGCTTCTGACCATAATACTCAGGACTCCACAAAATATTTTGCAATAATGAGGATGAACATGAGATTTGAAAGTAAATCTTAAACTTTATAAAACAATTTACAAACAACATTAATAATGAATGTGTACATCATAAATAAGTGAGCTTAATGTGTTTCCTAAGATCTATCAGTCACCTCTGTATGAGAATCGGCTATTAAGATGGCAGTAATTAGCTCAACTGGACCAAGGGGAGAACACACATATCCCTGCCTCTGTATTCACCATGATTGTTTGGTGAGAAGTTTGTATATGTTTGGCTGTGTTTGTCATGCTGGTTCACATTTGCTCATAAAATAATATACAAGAAATTTCTCTTTCATAAAACTTAACATCTCACGAACTCTTCAAACAACTTTAAACACATCTTCCTACTAACTTTTTTTTTTAAGTTTTATTTTTTAAGTGGAGAATAAAGACAACCGTTTAGCCTCCTCTTGAAGTTCTTCCTCTAGTTAAATCCTGTTGTATCTCTTAACAACAGTTTATCTTAAGACACCAAGATAAAGATCAATTCAATTTTGTCCTATACCCAACAGTGGATGTTCAGAAGTATGGGAATGCTGGAGCAGTTTTAACATAAGACCAACAACACTCCTCTGAGGTTTAATAATTGTACTGACAGGTCTGAGTCACTCAAATAGCAAGCAGTTAGATGGACATATGAAGCAGTGTTGTCCTTTAACTCGAGAGAAATTTCAGGTCTCAGATATCCACTAGATAGGCCATGGCATTTTTTTAAAACAAAATCAACTCTGATCAGATATCAATTGCAAACAACTCTTTATGTAAAGCAGGAAACATATGGTGAGGATACATCTGCTGAAACTTTGCTAAAGCATCCATATGAAGAAGGTTAATTTCTCTAAGGCTTGGAATCTTGGCCAATAGAAAGTCCAATATACTGACATCTCCTTTATATGGTAGTTTATGAGAGCGGTCTAGTTCAAAACGAAGGGATTTTAAAATTGCCTGATTATGTCTCTGAATGTCCAATACTTCTTTAAGTCCAGCACGATCTGTGGGTAAAATAAAAAGATTTAACTACTTATTACAATGGAAATAAACACAAAGAATTACAACCCTGTTATAATTTACATGTTATAACTACTTTTTGTTTTTTTGATACTCTTGCTAACAATTAGATAAAAGTCTTAATTGCAAATTTCTAGATTTTTTTTTTCTCAAAAGAAACTTCCAGCAAGCACAGTATTAAGCTAAATAAAAGTTAACAATCACAGGGGTATTTGTATAATATTACTTGTAATGTTAATTTTCAGATAATTTTTTTAATCCAGACAAACCTTCATTGAAACTTTAGTGGCAGTTATTTGCTACAAACATTCACTGGACTCAACCATGGAGGAAATGACCCAAGATTTCTGGAACTGAGTGTTAGGCCTTACAATGTTATTGTTGTAATTTCTTTTCTTATATGAATTAGTATTCGATAATATTAACAGTTTCTTTTCTTTGTTTTTGTAAACACTGTTTTCTCTCAATATTTTGTTTTTAAATACTTTAATTAACCTAAGAATCATAAAAAAAAAATCATTTTCTGAATCAACTGCTATAGATAATGATATATTAATGTAGGGATGCATGCCATTTAATGTTTAGTAAATAAGCAGTAAAGCTGATATGAAATGGTAATCTAAACCATCATATACCATAAGATAAAAAGAGGTGTAGACTGTGGGAAATGAAGCTGGATTTCAAGAGGAGCTTAAGCTTTTACATGTAAGGGATACATCAGCTAACAATGACTTTCAGGAAATTATAAAGATTACTATTAAAATAGTAAATTTAGTTATATTGAGCCTATTCTGTGGAGCAACAAATTTCAGCCCTTGGCTTCTGCAGATGAAGAACTATTGGAGGAAAGGAAAACAAAAGGGTCAGAGAAGGATGTGGATGATAAGGAGGTTATAGTTATCAGTGATCCCCTTGACAAGGCATGTGAATAGAATAGTCTGTGGGGTAAATAGGGAGAAAAGAATCAGATTATGCTACCCAGGGGCACAGGTGTAGGATACAACTGACGTAGCAAGAGATATAGTTTTTGTGATGCATATAAGGGCTAATGATGTAGGGAAAGGTAGGTCAGATAAGCTAATTAATAAGTACAAGGGGTTGATAAAGGCATTTAAAGAAAAAGGGCATAACTTAATTCTGTCAGGGATACTGCCCAGAATTAATTGTGGGAATAAAGTTATGAGTAAGTCACTAGGGCTAAATGCTAGGTTTAGGTTAGTATGTAAGGATGAGCAAATTGGCTGGTTGGACTTGTGGGATCAGTTCAGTGGAAGAAGGAAGCTTTTTGGAATGGATGGTTTACATTTAAATAGGGTGGGGGCTGTCTTGTTTGCTAAGGCTATTAACTCAGCTGTAAGGGAAGTTTTAAACTAGCATTAGACAGTGGTGAGGGCTAGGAAAAACTGAATGCAAAAAAAATAAGAGGCAGAGAAAAGCATAGGAAATGAGTATAGAAGTAGTTATAAAGATAGGCTTAATTATTACTATTGTAATGCTAGAAGTATAAGAAATAAAATAAATGACTTTAGAGCACTGGTAGAAATGGAGGATTTTGATATCATGGGAATAACGGAAACATGGTTAAACATACATGATTTTGATGACAGAAATTTCTTTGAAATACAGGGTTACAGGCTATTTAATAGGGATAGAATATTAAAGAGAGGGGGGGGGAGAGTGGCTTTATATGTAAAATGTGAGTTACATCTTGTTGAAGTTGAGAGTATCAAAGATAAGAGCGAAGAGATTGAATCCATTTGGGTTTCTATTAGTGGATATAAAGGGAAAAGGCTTTTAGTGGGAATTTGTTACAGACCACCAAATGATACTGATGAAATAAGGGAGAAACTTTACAATGAGATTAAGATTTCAGCTGTTAATGAAGTCAATTATGGGTGATTTTAATTTCAGGCATATAGATTGGGAAATTCTAGAGTCAAACCATGAGAGAGAAAGGTTTTTGGAAACTGTTCAGGATGGCTTTCTTCACCAAATAGTCAAGGATCCTACTAGAAACAATGCAATTTTAGATTTATTGTTAACTTCAAATATGGAAATGACTTAGATGGTGGAAATTGAGGAACATCTGGGTGCAAGTGATCATTGCTCTATTAGGTTTAATGTTTTGCTGCATGTGGAGATAAGGAATAATGATATTTTGGTTACAAATTTTGAATGGATGCAACAAGAATTATCTGCTGTGAATTGGGCAGCTGAGTTATCTGGAGACACTGATCAGATGTGGAAAATTGTTAAAGATTAATTTTTAAATATTCAATGTAAACATATTCCTTATAGAAATAAAAGGGTAGCTGCAAGTAGAAAACCAGGTTGGCTCACAAAGAGTTTAAGAAATAAAATTAAAGAAAAGCATCATAAATTTAAGAAATTTAAGTTGACTGGTATGACAGAAGATTTAGAAGATTATAGAGGATCAAGAAAGTTGGTGAAACAGGAAATTAGGACATCAAAAAGCATGTATGAGAAAAGGTTGGCTGCAAATGTAAAAATTAACAGTAAGGATTTCTTTAAATACATTAAGGTTAAACAAAATGTTACGATGGGGGTAGGATCTTTTAGGGATGATAAAAATGACTAGTAGTATCTGATGATTATGAGATGGCTGGATTATTAAATTTTACTTTTTCTTCAGTTTTTATTGTTGAAGATTTAAGCAATATTCCACATCTTGATCAGTTGATAAATGGAAAAATGAGATCAAACAAGATGACTGCATTAATTCTGAGCTGGTTAAGAATAAAAAGGGAAGTTTAAAAAATTATAAGGCTTCTGGGCCAGATATTATTTCCCCAAGGGTTTTGAAGGAGGTTAAAGATTGGATATGTGAGCCACTTGCTACTATTTTTGTCAGTCCTTGAATAGTGGGCAGGTACCACAGATTTGGAAGCTAGCTAATGTAACTCCTCTTTTCAAGGGAGGTGATAAAAACTGTCCCAGTAACTGTAGACCCATTAGACTTACACCAACTGTGGGAAAAATTTTGGAAAGTCTGTTAAAAGATGCTTAAGAAAAAGCTTGATAAGTATATGAATGATAAGGTCTTGGTTTTAAGATTTTTTTTAAATTTAGTTTAAAGGATGGAACAGCCAAGATGAACCAGTAGGTCCCATGTTGTCCCAAAAC